AGCCCGCATCCTGCTACATCTTGATGATGTAACCGGGGAACTTGCAACCCCCCTTTCCCTGCCACTGAAAGTCAGGGAGTAAATCAGACTGAGGGTTGCCCACAGCGGTCCTGCTCACAATCAGTGTTTCCCAAACTGTGGGCATCCCGTCCCCACATTCACCATTGTGACCACTGGCACTTAGTTATTTTTCTCAGAGTCAACTTCAGGTGACCTCTTTCAACTTAATTTCATCCTAAGCAATAATATCTAAGAAATCATGGGTTTGACGTCCTAGTTAGTTTTCTTCTGATAAAACCGTAACTATTAGGATTAAAAGTATCCTCCAGGTACCACCTGAAATCANCTTCTGATAAAACTGTAACTATTAGGATTAAAAGTATCCTCCAGGTACCACCTGAAATCACCTTGCAGGCCCCCACCTTGGGCTCACCTGACCTCTCCCCAGGGTGCACTTGCCACCCCCACCTCTGAACACCCAGTAGCTGGACCAGGGCTGGTGGAAACCCAGGTGTCTGGGTCCCAGTCACCAAGCACAACTCCGAGGAAGCAGAAGTTCCCTCCCCTTAGTATCTTGGAGGGCAGGGCCCACCCTCCACCACCAACATATGTCACGCTCATGGCTCTGTGTCTTGCATCTTCAAAAGTGCTTTGAACAAACATTAATGACCCCTCAGCGTTTCTCTGAGACGGGGGATGTGGAAGGGGGGCAGGCACCGTCCCGTGCTGTCCTCAGCTGGGGGAAGGAACCAGGCAACACAATTCCGTGACTTCACCAAAGCCACCGACTTAAGCTGGGGCCCCTCCTCACCCTCCCTCATTTCCCCCCATGGCAACTTTTACTGGCTCGCATTCCTTTTGCTGGGAACACTACTATTTAATTAAAAACGACAGACTTTTGTTTTTCTCTCCTTCCTTCCTCCTCCCTCCCATCCTCCAGGACTGGATGCCAAGGAGACCCACCAAAAACATGCGGGTAACATTTGTTACGGCTTTGAAGATAAAAGTCAGTTGAAGTAAGCCCTCGCTGTATTTCAAGTTTCCCCTAAAGCATGGAGCAGGCTGCCTGGCAGTTTAGGAAAGGGGGGGAAAAGGGGAGGGGGGGCTGCAAAAAATGTCATTCTGCAGGAATACTTTGTAAAAATAAACAGGCGGAAAAAACCCCAAACTTGATTAATGGAAATCCACTCAGTTGGCTCTGTCTTAAGCCACAAATGCATTTGTTCATATGGCTAAATCGGATCATTTTCATTGGGCTTTAAAAAAATATGTACATCATAAACTGGAAATGCTGGGGGAGACAGGGAAGTTTGCAGGTCTGTTTTTAAAGGGCCCTAACTACAGTGCCCCCACCTACCAAGTTGTGACCCGTGCTAGGGGACAGCAGCTCCAGTTCCAACCCAGTCTACAGGTGACGAGACATGTGGAAGAGAAATTCCCAGCTAAGTGGAGGGTGGAGGAGCAGATGGGAGCTTCTCCCAGGAGCAGAGGTTATTTCATACATGCACAAGAGTCGGCTTTATCCACAGGCTCACCTCCCAGCACTGGCCCCTGCCACTGAGCTGCAGCCAGCCCAGGCCCCACCACTCAAATGCACACACACATCTGAAAACTCCACTGGCCCCTCCCCAGCCCATGGACAAGACCAAAGAACTAACCAGACCTGAGACTCAGTCTTTTCCCCTCCAAGCTAAAAAAAAATTAAATGTCACATCAAAAAGTTGATTCATCCTTTGATCCTTGGCTTGCTTGAGTTCCACGCAGACCATCTGAAAGACCGTGCCGAGTTCCAGAGCTCAGAGGACATCTGTGAACACCAGTCCCAGGCCAGGAGCTGGGGCTGGACTCGCTCACTCCCCTGTCACATCTACTGCTTCCCCAGGAACAACTCCAACCTCGGGGACCCTCAGGAGTGGGCCCAGGCTACAGCAGAATGAGGCGCTCTCCTCGTGGGCCAGGCTAGGGGGTCTACCGGGTCTCAGTGCCTCCCAAGCTCTGCCACCCAGATGGCAGGCTGCTCTGTTGGGGTTCCCGGGCAGATGGTACTGACAGTGCCACAGACACACAGAGCATATTTGGAGGCCCGCACAGTCCTGAGCTCCACCCAGATACCCTTCGATACCTGCTTCCTCTGCCCAGCCCCACCTCTAAGCCCACCTTAGAATGCTGGCCACAAAAACAAGAGCAGGCCCCCAAGTCCTCCCAGCACAGACAAGCTACCCCATCGCCTGGACCTGCACCACCTCCTCACCTAGGACCTTTCCCCCTGCTCCCAACCAGGCAGAAGACTGCCACCCCTGTCACCTGTAAGGTTCCTCAGGGCAGGGGCGGACAGGGTCATGTTGGTGGGCAGGGGTGGCTCAGAAGGGACTTCTGGACTTAGAGGCTGTGCCAAGAAGGTGGTAAAAGTTGCGGGGGG